TCTGTCTCCACTCACATCTCTGTGGTAGCAGGTCTCCTGTGGCCCAGCTTTTGGGAGACAGGTCTGCTGTGTGTCAAGCATGCTGTGGTGGCCCCCGTCCTAGCATTCCCCATACACTGCTTCACCCTTGATCCTCCAGCCCTGTGATGACAGTAGGTTCAAGCTGTTGAGAACCTCCTGAGAATGTACTCAAAGTGTTTTCCATTTCATGATCACTACATTTTATAAAAGTTTTACTTTCATAACTTGTAGTCTTTTGGGCATTGATAAAAGAAATGTTAAGTTACTCTGTTATCTCAGGTAATGGGTAATCAGCTTGCTGGTCTATTTAGATGGGACAGCAAAGACAAATAAAGCAGAATGACCCATGTGCCCTCAGGGAGCTGAGGCTGGTGTGGAGAGAGTGCCCTGGGAGCTGAGAGGAAGGAACACCTCGTTAGGGTGGTGGCGGGAAAGCACTCCCTAAGAGGGTGACATCTAAATGTCTTGCCATCTGCCCAGATCCTGCATGAACAAATGCATTACCATCAGCCCCACCATTTGTGCAAAAGCTCATTTAACGCTTGGCTGCATGACAGTGTGGAGTTAGGGCTGGTGGAGGAAAAGGAAGCCAGCAAGGTAGCAGCTGGATCACCAAAGGTAAGAAGCTTCCCCTGAGCATTTGGCTGCATCCAGTCAGTGACTGAGAATAGGGAAGTAGGAATTTGGGCAGAGGAAGTACATAAGCAGGTTGATCCCTTAAGACCGTCAGACCAGTGTCTCAGAGGAGACACCGGGGGCAGAAGAGGCCTCTGGTTGAAGGAGTGGTATTTGATTGGAGGTCTGACTGATCCCAGAGGGTATGGGAAGAAGGGGAAAATCAAAGTGCATCAAGGAGCAGAATGTGTGGAATTTGAAGAATTACTTGGATGGGTTTGGGGCTCATTCAATGATGGTCTGCTGTACTCGAGGTCAGCACGTATTTGTTTGAGTTAAATGAATCTCAAAGCTGGAAGATTTTCCTAAATTGGAATCACCCTGTCTGCTTGGAGGTCTCATGCATGTTTATGGATTGTTTATACTGCCTTATCCACTGGATGTATTTTCAAACAAATTATGGCTTCAGCTCTGCTCATGTTTTACAAGCAAGCCACATACATGATTCCTTTTGAAAACCATTTACTACTCCCACTAACTGTCACCACCCTGGTACCCTGTTCAAGGCCACAATCTGCCCAGTTTCTCTCTGCCAGTCCTGAAAATTGTTGACCCTCCACCCACCATCTATTTTTCTCACCTCCCACTGCTATCTGGCACAGCTTTCCATCTTCTGATGAAATAAAATAACTTCCTAGAAGATAAACCATTTTGTGAGTACTGGGTGAGGAATCCTGTCAGAGCATCCTATGGGTTCACCCCCTACCCTCCACAAGCCAGAGAGCTTTTAACAAAGTTATAAGGCACACAGTACCTACCCTCTAGAATCCTAGTGTCTGGAAACAGACCCATGGAGATGGAATGTGGCAAGAAGTAGCACCTTACAGACAGCAGCTGCCTTATTTCAAGTAGAATGTGAGGTGCTGTACTGGAGTTTTGGCTTTGTGGTATTATTAGTCTTAAGAACTAAAAGTAACACACTTTATTCTGTGAAGATTATCAAAATAGAGTGTGATTCAGAATAGAGTGAGGGGTCTGACTTCCTTAAGAATAAAGTTTGTCACATTGACCGATCTTAACCTTGTGCTTCCCTCCATTATCCATAAGATAAAAATCCTAGCAGTTTCTACCCCATTTGGCAGGGAGACGAAACACTAGCTGCATGCACTGTGCAGAGCATCCTCCTGACACATGCCAAAGTGCAGAAGACACTGCTGTGGATAATACCTGAGGCCAAAGGGAGGCTCTAAAAGGCCAGTTGAAAAGATGTGTGTGAGAACCAAGGGTCTTGGTCTCCTGCACGTGAGAACTGTTACAGAGAACCCTGTGGTCCTTTACAGGCACTTAGATTAATTACAGAGAAAACTGATACACACAGGCTCTCTTCAGGGAGAGTTAGTGTTTTGAGTTGTCAGGGTACCCTTGGTCACATTGCACTTCACATACATAACACACAGTTGTTCCTTAGAGAACTTCCAGAAACAAGTAGCAAGGCACCCTTTAAAGGATCACTTCTGCCTCTGAAACCTTCCATGAATATGCATCACTTTCCTCTGCATTTGAGTTCAGCACACATGAATTGAGCAGCACACTTTTTGAGATTCTGCATAAGCTGCGGGATTTGAGGATAAACAACCAGCCCCATCCTTATGAGGTTTGTAATTGTATGGAGATACATGTGAGCACTTCAGGCCACAGTGATGAAAGCACAAACAGAGGTGTGTGGAAGGTCACAAGGGCTGCACAGGAAGGAGAGGAGCGGAGGCTGCAGAGAGTTGGTAACGTCTCAGATCCAGAAGGGAAAGGTCAGGTCTGTGGGTCTGTACAGGAGACCTGGACTATGGTGGGCAGAGGGACATAATAGGGATGAGGTTGACGATATAGGAGAGGCAGAGGCATAGAGCGTGGGCGAGCTTGGCCTCTCTCTTGGACCCTTTGGGGGCCACAGAAATACTTTAGGCATCAAAACGCTGCAAGATCCATTTTTAGCAGGATCACCCTAATGTGGAAGATTGAAAAGTGTGTCAGAAATGGTGGTGAGTTTGTATCACCACTGCAGAGTCCTGAGGGCAGGGGCAGGGGCCTCTTTCTCCCTAGATCTGTAATGTTTGACATCATAGACATTCAGGCAATGCTGTGGAGCAAAGATGGCTGCGTTGAATTTCCCAGCTCTGCTTCCTCTCCTCAAATCATGCTGACCTGGACCTCCATCTGTCAGAAGCAGCTTGACGCAGATCATAATAAATTCTCTTTGCTTGGCATTCTTTTAACTGGTGCTCTCTGTTTACTGGCCCCTCTGTGCAACTGTACTGGGGTGGTGATTGATGCTTATAATTTTGACCCTGAGGTACTTCAAGCCTTCTAAATCATCAGAAAAAGATTAAAGTATATTCAGCATTGTGCTAATGTTTGTGTATTTTACTGCATTCTTATTCTTTGGACACTGATGGTTTATTGAGTGCCTGTGTACCTAGACCCCGCAAGACTCTGTGATCGCCCACAGCTCCGGATGCCCCCCAGATGCCAGGCATAGGCAGTATATTATGCAGGCCTGAAAACAGAGCCAAAATGAGAGTGCAAGCTGTGGTTAGAAAAGCAGTGGGAGTGAGAAAGCAGAATTGGAGCAGACTTGCCCGCGCCACAGCCCAGCCCCAGGAGGGCACAGCTCAGGGCCAGGATGCCACTCCTGTGCTCTGGGTGCTGTGACCCCAGTCACCAGGCTTAGACTTGGCAGGATTCCCCACCAGCTCCTTGGTACTGCAGTAACTGTTCTGTGACACGGTAATCATTAGCCAGTGAAAATGGCAATAACAAGAGCACAGCTTTTTTTGAAAACTGTTTTTGCTGTAGAGCTGACCAGATTATTAAGCTCAGAGTAAAGAACTCAGAATAGAACCCACTGATGGCTGTTTGAAACCTGGGTTCTGAAAGGGAAGAAGGGTGGTAATGTCACCAGGGTAGATTTGTGTGCCTGTCTCTTGAGGGGTTATGTGCTGCACTAGAGACTGTACATTTTGGTGTACAGTTTACTCTGTCTCTCATCAGTCAGTTCGCATCATCCCAGCCCTGAAGCCCAGGACTTTGCCCGTCTCCTGGCGAGGCTGTCAGAAGTAGTTTTTATCACTTGCCACCCCTGGCAAGTCTCTGGATTTCTCTGGGTCTTAGTTTTTCTTTTTCTGAAATATTGAAATAATACTAACTTCTTCATAGTGTTGGTAGAAAGCTGAATGTGAAATGTGCTTCCCTGGAAAGCCTTATCTGTGTAAGGAGTAGATAAAAACACTACTATATAGGTCATATGTGTGATATTAGATATGAGTGTTAAACATGGTGAAGAACATCATAAATATTCCAGAAATATTCCAGAAATATAGAAACAGATTTTACCCATCAGCACAACATCCTCACAAATCGCCTCAAAGTAGAGTGGGAAGAAATATGTACTGAGTCCTTGCAGGAGATGGGTGTTTTAGACATGCTCTGCTCTACTGTATCTACTTGTGAATTCCCCCACACAGTCATGAGGGAACTAACACTCCTCCTCCTCTTCCTCATCCTCTTCTTCCTCCACCTCCTCCTCCACCTCCTCTCTTTCCACCACCCCACCCCCACACGCTAGCTGCCCATGGTTAGCTAGTTCCAGACTCACAGAGGTACCAGGAACTGCTAGTGTCCCCTGGGGCTGGAACATTTCCTAACCATCTGTTGGTCCAGTGTAGACCAGAGGGGACCCTGGGGCACCAGGAGCACCACACACCAGTAGGCCAGGAATGTGACCTTGACAGCCAGTCACAGCCCCAGTCTGAGAGCGGAGGTGACAGGGCCATGTCCCCAGGTCTTGCAGAAATGGCCATGGCCCTGCTGTTCTGAGAAATTCAGTTGTGTTTTGTTAGTGATACCGCCACTGTCCACCTTACAGGTGCCACCTGTGCCTGACCTTTGTGCATCCCTAGTGGCTTGAGGAGCTGCCAGTGGGATCCCCATCTCAGGAGTTCCTTCCACACGTGCTACCTCTGCTCCTGGTTCTGCATGCACGGGAGTAAGCATAGATATGTGATTTGTACTTACTGCTCCAAGGAAGCCTTTCTAGGACTCTTCTAACTTCGATGCCAGCTACTGGGGCAAAGGGTCCCCAGCACAGCAGCTTATGAAGTACCCAGCAGGACCCCCTGCCACATGTACATTCCTTTTTATATTGCTTTCCTGATTTCACAAACAAACAGCGGTGAACTGGAGCTGCCTGTGCAGAGAAATGGCTAGTGTCTGCCACAGGGCTCTCTGGATGATGGGGAGGCTCTTGGCATGGGAGAATTGGTTGTTCAGCCCTCAGTCCTAAAAGGAGCTTGTGTGTGGCATTTCTGTAGGTGCTCAACAGGAGGTGTGTGGAAGCTGCCGTGATGACAGGCCTGGCACTGAACTGCCACATAAATAAGAAGTCCTTGTTTGACAGAAAACACTACTTCTATTCAGACCTCCCTGTAAGTATGCTCTGTGATAGCCCCTCGAAGTCTTCAGAGCTGGGACAACCCTGCCTGCGGGCGGCCAGAGGAAGGGAGGGAGAGGGCCGCACCTCCGCTGTTTTCTTTCTTTCTTTCTTTCTTTCTTTTCTTCTTTTTTTTTTTTTTTTTTTTTTTTTCCACAAAGTACCACAAAAGCTTTTATTTGGGTAACTATTGTAAATGAATTATTTTCTTGATTTCTATTTTGGAAAAGTCATTGTTAGTATATAGAAAAGCTACTGATTTTTGTGTGTTACAAAAAATAATAATTTCAACTGTACTGAATTCATTTATCTGAATTCAAAACTGTTTTAGTGGAATCTTTAGGATTTTCTATATGTAGTTATGTCATCGACAGATAGTTTAGCCTTTTTCTGATTTATTTATTTTTATTTATTTTTTTATGGAGCACTTCTACTTTTTTTTTTTAATTTTATTGAGAGACAAATAGCAATGAGAGTTTCAAATCAAATTGGTAGGACAGTTTCAATAGTTAACACAGTGCATACTCTCTTCCTAGTGGTTATTTGCTGTACAAGATGCGGACATGATCTATCCTATTTACAAACACTATTAGAACAAATCCCTCTATTCATTAAGAGAATGTAACTATATATCTATCTTAATCATTTTGAATACACAGATACAAAGTGGACATTCATCAGTATTCCCTTTTTTGTTTAGTTCCATCATTTGAATATTACAGGTGTGTGAACTCAGCAAAATATTTTAAGAGTCCATTAGTCCATAATAGTATTGGGACTCAAGAGGAAGACCCTCCGCTGTTTCTGTCCTTCTCTGCCCATCTCAGCAGGAAGCCCTGCCCAGCCCCATGAAGGCAGGTGCCCCCTGCTGTTCACCAGATTGCATGCAATTGTCTTGATTGCTGTCTCCTTGGTTAGTCTCATGCTTCTGGTGGCTCTCTCCTAATTGTACGGGGACCCCAGGAAACCAGTGTTGTTAGGCTGGGTGCAGTCAGGGAGTCTGGTGCTAATTGTCTGTTAGTACAAAGGCTGGGCCTGTCTGTGGCTGATGACAGTTACTGCCCACTGTCGCTCTGTAGACAGTGTGAGAGTGTCTCTCGTTAAAGTAGAAGGTCTCTATACAACAGCTAGACATTTCTGTCGTCTCCCATGGAGCAAGTAAGTGGACAGTAGTAAGCAGAAACATGAACCTGAAGCAGGCACGAACAGCAGTAATTGGCGGAGCAGGAGGCTCAATATTTGCCTGCATTTTTTCTTAAAACCAGAAACTTCCTTTAAGAGGTGCTGCTGTGAATGAGAGAGAGTTTTTCATAATATTGAGCTGGAACAAAACTGAGATGTTGAATGGGTTGTCCAAAATAATGTGTCATCTAATCTGAGCCTCTTACAGTGAGCAGGACTCTCCTTTAGATTTAGAAAAACACTATTGATACTGTCACCTCGCTTCATGTTCCTTGAACTAAAGATTGAGGGGACCTGATTTTTTGTGGGTAAGGACTAGGACAAATAAAAACAAGTAGGACCCTAATTCTGCAACTATAGCTCCTTTCCCCCTCCAGCGACTCACCTGTCAGCTCTGTAGGTGGGAAAGAATTAAACTGCTTTTCTTCATCTCTTTTGTTAATTTTCCAGGGCTGCAGATCCACCCAGGGCCTTGTGCATGGCAGGCAGGTGCTCTACCATTGTTCCACATCCTCAGTTCCCATTTCTTTTATCTTTTAAGAGTGGTAACCAGTTTGGTTCAGGTGAAAACATTACCAATATGACAAAAATAAGGTATTTTAATTATTTACAGCCTTCTGTTCTTTCTGATACATGTAACTTAGGTAATCTGCAATTGGTGTTACCAAATATTACATGGATATCCTTACACTAAGAAAGTGTGTTTGCTTATCTGAAATTTAAATTTAACAGTGTATTGGGTACCCCGCATTTTATCTGGCAACCCCATCCAGAGTTTATAAGATGTGACTGAAAAATACAGTCCATGTTTAAATTTAAAAACACATTTCAGCAAAAGATACAGTACTATTAATCCTTCTCAAAATATTAGCCTTTCCTTCAAACGCCCTTCTCCCATGGTTCTTGCCACTTTCTGAAGCAGTTGAGGAAGGTGTCATTTATGAGTATCTTTAGTTGCTCTGTTGTGACTGCCTTCCCGTCCTGAACCCATTCAAAACATTCACCTTTCACAGTCATTTGACTGAGAAAGAGCTGGAAGTCACACAGTACCAGACACAGTGAATAAGGTAGAAGAGGACACATCATGATGTTTTTATGAGCCTGTTTTTTGGTTGGATGACACTTAACCACATTCACCATATTTTGACCATATTCCATAAGGACACTCACAAAAGAAGATGTCCAGTACTAAAAAATGGTACGTATGATGGGATGGGTGTGTTTGAAGTGACAGGGAATATTTTGAGGGGAATTTATAGCATGGTATCTTAATGTAACACATTTGAAAACATCCACCATATATTTCGATCATACTTCATCATTTTGCAAATTGAAACTTCCTCTCTCAGCGTAGAAAATGGCCTCATTTTCTTGGTGTAGAATGTAGCCCCGCGGCACTGCTGTCTGCATCACTGGGGTCTTGTCAGAAGTATAGTTCTCAGGCGTCACCCCAGACCTAAAGGATCAGAAATCTTTGAGGTGGCAGTGAGCACCCTGCTTGGACCAGCTTACTGGTATTTCTGATATAGTTTACTTGAAAAACTGCTGCTTTGCTGAGTGGTGAGAAATCCAGACTGGAGCCCACACACGTGGGGTGACATGCTGATGTGAAGACTTCTGGGTCAGTGTGTGGCTCTGGGTGAGGCCATGGCCCTTGTGTGCTTGTCCCGCTTCTCCTGGCTTTGTGGGCTCACACCCAAGTGTAACATACTGGGAAGTGTGTTGAGGCCCTAAGCAGGTGCCTTGGTGATTTAGCCTTTGTCCTCTGTGCTTCTCCAGGTCTGCCTTGGCCTGCTGTTTACTTCATGTTTGCTGATGTGTGTGTGCGTGTGAAAGCAGTTCTTCTTTGCATATGGGAGGAGGTACACAGCCACCAGCTTGGAAGTGCTAAGTGTGAGCATCACAGCTCTTTCTGGCTGTAGTAGCAAGGGAAGTTGGGTCAGCAAGGGCAGCTAACACAACCGATTGGCGGAAAGAGCAGAATCAAACTGGCTTCTCAACGTGGGAACATGGGCGGCTGCTGTTGCAGTGTTGAGAGGGGTTGGGCAAAGTGCTTAGCCAGTGTTTCCTAATAAGGAGACTCCGTCAGGAGCCCAGTAATGAGATGCAGAGGGCAGGCTAATGAGCTAAATGAAAACAGTAAATTCTTCTTAGGGGCTCCTGACAGTGAGATTATTGTTATTCTTAAAAATGGCACTTTTGTAAGGAAGATGGGATTCATGTTGTAATTGCTTTGTTACTGGGGGTGAAGGACTTGTGGAGGGTAAGGGGGCGATGGGAAGCAGTGTCTTTGAATTATGTCAGCAGTACATAGACTAGTCTTTCTCCTTGTGTTGTTGTTCTCTTGTGTTTGTTCCAAGTAAGCCTTTCGTTGTGTGACACTGAAAGGAATCATACACTGGAACCAAACTTCCGGTTATGGACTCATGACTGTAATTCTTATTTGCTTATGTGCAGGCAGGGTACCAGATCACCCAGCAGAGGCTCCCGATAGCTGCTAATGGGAGCTTGACATACGGAGTCTTCATGGGAAATAAGCAGAGTCGCATGGCCACCAAGACAGTGAGAATCAGGCAGATCCAGTTGGAGCAAGATAGCGGCAAAAGCCTCCATGACGACCTGAGGTCCCAGACACTCATTGATTTGAACAGGGCGGGTAGGTGTTGATTATTTTCATAGCTTCTCCTTCTAACTCCTCAGTCCTTGGATTATAGGCCTCTCTCTTCCTTTCTAGAGTTTTCCCAAACCAACTAAAAGCAGACACTGGAGTCTTAACAGGAGGAGATCAAAATATGTTAGTATTGAGAGAGCTGATAAGTGTGTGGCTTAAACTATGATCACTACTGGGCTGATCAGTGATTCACCTTTCAGGTTAGACTGAGCCACAAATCACAAACCCAACACCTGCATATCCTTAAGCAAACATTAAAAAAGCAAACTAAAGTTAAGAATGAAAAAGTGCAGGGAATAAGAGAAATGATTAGACCCAGTTTGAGAGTCCTTCAATAATGCAGGATTTTACCTGCCAGTGACACTGTAAGCCCCAGTCAGGCTGACTGTTCCTCTTTCTGGTAGGAGTTGGCCTCTTGGAAGTGGTCCTGGAGCCCGACTTGTGCTGTGGAGAAGAGGCAGCCGCAGTCATCAAGGAGCTGCAGCTGATACTTCAAGCCCTGGGGACCAGCCAGGCCAACATGGCAGGTAGAAACTGAGGTAGCCTCCTGTGCTACCTTCTTCCTTCCTCCTTCAGGGTTTCTTTGCTCCTGAGCTTCACTCTCTAGCATCATTTATGTTGAAGTCATTTACATCTATTTTCATCCCTTTCCACTCCTGCTTGCTTTTTTTTTCCACTTTTAAAATTTTTCTTGGCAGCCTTTCTGAGTCCCAGACCAAATATAAACAGTAACAACAATGCAGAGCTACTGAGCCCAAGAATATGAGTCACAGGGATAGATGCTTCCTCCAGCTTCTTACCTCAAAACTTTAGGGATTCAAAGCACACTCAAAATAATAGGTTTGAACACTTTAATCTTTCTCAGAAAGAAGTCAGTGTTCTTCAGAAGCAGTTCTTAGTTTGTGAGTTCTCTCTAACAGATAGCTAGCTGCTGCTTTGGGGAAATCTTCCTTTTCTTCCTTTTGTAGAATTTTCATCCATGAAATATGAAGTGTGCTGCTTTGGCTATTAACATGTATCAAGTTATCATACATACCCTCATACATTTGTACAGTTAAAGTGATAATTAAAAATAGAATTTTCATCCATATTCAGCTGAAGCCAAATCATAGGGGCTATAAGCCAAGATTTAAATTCAGTAGATATAAAGTAGGAAACTGAAAACCAAAGAAAGAAGTTTTCATACCCTTGGGAACCAAGCAGAGTAAACCTTTTAGGCATTTGTAGATTGTATGCAGAATCATAAGCTTGGCCAAGGTCAGTGTCTCCATGGCTCTGCCTCGTCTGTGCCCGCTGAGGGCTCTTTTGTCCTCCCTTAAGCCCCTAAAGGCTAATCTCCCCCATCATCTGTCTGTATTTTGTGTTCTCCTGACCTTTTAAAAAAATTCTGTTATCTTTGCAGCATAGGTTCTGAATTTAGTCATAGGTTTCCTGAAATGCACCATACAGGCTGCTGTGCATGCCCATGAGTCCTCTGATGAAGGTGGTCATCTTTCCATCAGCTCATGGTCCTAAGAACATCCTTGTCATTTCACATCGTGTATTTGCATGTTACCAAGGGACTTCTGAATTGGTAGTGCCACATTTGTCACGTAGAACGTCTTACAAGCAACGAATTATCACATCAAAGCCCTGCTGCAAGTTGAATGTGAAGACAGTACTTGCTTATTCGCTGTTTTTCTCTTTAAAGACTGAAAACAGAGCCACATGAGTATGAGTGATGTAAAGGTTAGTTCACAGAAATGAGACTGTTAGAGAAAGAATTCTCCATTTTCCATTTATTAGTCATGCCATTTTTTTATGTACAGAGCATAAATGAAATACAGACAGGTTGGACGGTTATCCATTAATGCACTAAGCATTGATTATTGTTTTGAAAGTTTTTATTTTTCCATTCTTATTGAGAATCACTATGATTCTTGCATACCCTGTGGAATAATAAACAAGCCACCTGTTAGCTGAGAAATAGTCCCATCTGGGTCCTTGCCAAGAGATAAACCATCGTGGCAGGAACTCATGAGTCAGTGACAGCTGAGAGTGCTCATTAAATCTCATTTGTTGTGACACTTTTTTGTTCCTTTTAAACACAAATCCAGCAGCTTTGCTTCAGCACAACCGCCAAGTGGCTTTGGTTGTTCTGCAGGGCTGGAAGAGCTGAGGGTTAGCATTTAACAGCCTGCCTCCTTCACTTACTCCTCTTCCCACCACCACTGGACCACAGGTCAGCCCTGGAACCCACACCTGGTGGGAGCTAAGGTCACTCTAGAGGGGCATTGAGAAGCTCTGGACACAGTACTTTGGGAGTAAAGTGTGAATTATTCTGAACTGCAGTTTGCCTTGATTCCAGAAGATTTGCTAATGAATATGGATCCACTCGGCTAGGTCATTACCTCCTCATGAACAGCATTTACCATGTTGAGGTCCTCTTCCAAGCAGTGTGTTGAGTTGAGTGTAGGCAGAAGTCAACGTACTCAGTTCCAGGGGTTGTAATACCTGGCAGTTGGAACATGAATAGGTGCTTGTCAGTTCACTGATTTATCTTCCCAAACATTACAGCTTTCCTAAGAAACAGGTGGTATCCTACCTGTTGTCCAGGTGAGGAAGCTGAGGCTCAGGTGCGCTGGCTTATTTGCTTGAGGCACATAGCAGCTCCCAAGCTAGGATTTGAGCCCCGGTGTGTCTGACTCCAGAAGCACTTTCTTTAAGCAGGAAGTCTGCTGCTTCCTAGAGTTATTGTGACTCACAGACACCTGCTTAATGATGCAGGATTGCAGCGTATGTCACAGTGTGTCACAGTGCCAAGAACTCTGAGGTCCTAGACATAGGTTGGAGTTTTGTCCTGTGATTTCCAACAGTAGAAACCTGGGCAGATTATTCTATTTCTCTGACCCTCACTTTCCCCACTTATAAAAGAAGCCCCCAAATAATTGTGTGTGGAAAGAGAAAAGGAGAAGCCAAAAAGTAAAGGAGGTCATCAGAGTCACCAGGTAGAGTTGAGGTAACTGAATGAGAGGTATGGCTTTGGGCAAGAAAGTTTGAAATTTGATTTTGGAAATGCTTAGTTTGAATGCCTCAGGATGTTCTGAAAGCCGTATTGTAGGCAGCAAATGTGATAGTGTAGATAGGGCAGCACTGGGCCTGGCAAAAAGGCCATGCTCAATAAATGCTTTTATTAACAGGAGTAAATAGGACAGGATTGCTTTGTTGGCATCACCACTCATTGGGACAAATATGCTTAGTGAAATATGTTCAGTAACATTTGGCTTGGGATGGAGCTCAGGTAGAGGACTTAACTGGCATGGGTGAGCTTCCATCCACAGAACTTCAAAAAAAGAAAGAAAGAAAAAAGGCTAGAGATAAAGCTCAGCAGCTCAGTGCCTGCCTGACTAATGCAAAGTCCTGAGTTTAATTTCTGGTAACCCCACCCCCTTTCTTTTTTGCTGAGTTGTAGTTTTGGAACACATTCAGGAACCAGAATGACATGGCTTGACAGACCTTCCTACCAAAGCCTCAGCCCCTGCTGTTCCCAGAAACAGTTTTCTGTCTTGATGTTATATTTCCGTTGTGTGAATGTGTTTTAGAAAAAAGTGTGTAACTGCACTCTCTCACTGTGCTCAGTGGTATAGTGTTTTTGTTGTTAGAAGTCTTGGCTTCTAGAAGACAGAAATTGAGCTGGGCAGTGTCTCATGAGGTGTGAACGCAGGCCCTCCCTCCGTGGGACCGAGCACACAGAAGCAAAGCTGACTCCAGGCTTTCATGCACTTGAAGCAATCTAACTTAATTTGTTTAAAAGGTATTTTGTCTTCACTGGGTAGAGTGTCTTTTGTTAATGTTTGATTTTGTATTTGAAGCCAGGCTAGCGAACTCTCTTTTAACACTGCAGGGTACTAAATGATTCCTCTCAGGCATTTATGTAGTGTAGTCTTCTATAGAAGAGACTAAAATTCATGCTTTTATCACTCTTCCAAATTAGAATTCTAAATTGTGAGAGATGGTTTCCTTTTTAAAAGCAAGTGAGTAATTCAGAGTTCCGTTAAAAAAAAAATGTAGTGGCTCCCACATATGAGATTTGGTGAGCAGAGCTCAGTGCACCAAGCTTTCCTGAGTTTAATGGACCATCCAGACAACCCCAACTATGGAGTAGTTACATTTAGACAGAAATTTAGAACTTATCAGGAACCTACTATGGGATGGAAAATATTGCTTGGGATTATACCAGCACGCCAGCATCTGTTCTTGAGTGAAGTTTCACTTTTGAACTGGTACCACATGCTGACTCAACCCTAGGTTCTGAGAAACACCTTGTTTCTGCCAAACCAAACTTAGAAAGACCAGCTTATATGTAAACAAATAAGCACAGTAATGAATGCTTGTGGGAAATGGATTTCAGAAGGGTGAGAAAGAAGCATGGAAGCCATTGGGAGATGCTTTCTATAGTTTAGATGGAAGGTGACCCATTTGGCAGCACTGGTGGCAGTGGTGATGGAGAGATGGGTAGGTTCAAGATGGTTTGTAGAAATAAGCAGATTTGTAGCAGGTATGGAGAATCAAGAGACAGGAAGAAAGAATACTCCAGGAAGTTTGAAGAGCTAGGTGGTGGTGTGCAGTGCAGTTTAAAGACAAGGGTAAGGGAGATTGGGGACATAGCTCAGCAATCTAAGTGCCTACCTGGCAAGCACAAGGACCCGGGTTCGATCCCCGGTTCCACATGCCATACTAGCCTCATGTGGAACAGGCCATCGATACCGGGCATGGTGGCACACATCTATAATACCAGTGCTGGGGAGGCTAAAACAGGAGGATCATTACGAGTCTGAGCTGCAGAGTGAGACCCTGTACCAAATAAATAAACAAGTAAGTGAAAAAAAAAAGATAAGGGCAAGGATGACTTTGTGAAGGGCCATTCAGGGTGCACTTTTGGAAACTGAAATGCCGCTGAGGCCTACTGTGAAGCTCACACGAGAGGTCTGGCCTAAAGAGAAACTGTGCTATAAGGAGCTGTAGTGGATTGATAGCTAGTGATTAACTTGTTATACCCAGCTGAACTGTATCAGCATGGTGCTGGGTGTGGGATGCCTACCTGAGCATTATCTCCAGCAGCATAAAAGGAGAACTGGAGAGGAAGGTAGTGCTGTTGGTTCTTGTGGAGAAGCTTGTCCTGATTTTCCTGATATGAACTCAGCTGTTCTCATCATTGAAGAATTCAGGACCTCAGTGTCACTGAGGACAGCTACAGTTCTCTTTGGAGGAGCTCCGGTCCTTACCTTGTGCAGCACTTCTTCACTCCAGTGCAGATCCCTCAGCCCGCTGGCACAGATCCGTTACCCCTCTGGTGCAGACTTTCTAGCTTCTTTGGGCCTTCCCAGAGCAGATCTTTGATACCGACTGGCTTGAGACATCATTATGAACTCAAGGCTTTCCGTGGACTCATGCAGGACATTTCTGTGGGATCCGGCCGTCAGATTCTTTGGGTCTTCACTGTTTGGACAGATCTCCTGCACTCTTGCATTTGGCTTTTGGGGTAACTATTATAAAATAATCCCTCTGAGTTATGTGTCCTGTATTAAATCCTTTTCCTTGTAAACTCTGACAACAACAGGAGCACTAAGGTTGTAAGATTATGTTTACAACCCCTGAAGAGAGAGCATGAGAAGGGGTCTTGAGTGTGGATAGAAAAGAAAGCACCAGAAAATGAAATGGAAGAAGAGAATCCAGGAAGAAACGAAGTGATGGTAGTAAGGCACAGAAGCCGAAGCAGGAAGGTAGGGAGAATGAGTGGGTGTGTCACGTGCTGTGGAGGTGCATCCATCAGTTGCCAGAGAGGTGGGCAAAACCCCAGCTGGCACGGGAGTCAGTGGGAGATGGGATGGTGGGTACAATATGAGCAGCAAACGAAACTTGTTTAGAGAAGATTTGCTGAGAGGAGAGCAGAGAAATAACAGCTGGATGACTGAATCCATGAGAACTGGGCTCTGGGGAATAGGTGTTTTGGCTTTTGTTTGTTTTCTTAATGAGAAATACTGTTGCTTTTGAAAACAGCCAAGGGGATACTGAGAAACAGATTGATGACTCATACAGGGAGGGCTGAGAGAAAGAGTGGTAAGGCCCAGAGGGTATTTAAAGCCTAGGTCCTTCACAGAGCCTCCCATTTTAGCCTGGCGATGAGGCTTTCTCAGTGTAGACTGCTCTTCCGCACTAGTCCTGTGGGACAGCTTGTGTGCTTTTGACTATGGAGGCTCCCTTACGGATGGAGTTTGTCATAGAAGGTAGTGACACTTAACGTGGGACCTTGAGGAGTGAACAGAGGGGGAAGAGGGGAACAGTTGCACTGGTGAGGAGAATACTTCAGTGGTGTAGATAGGAAGTGGTATGCACTGCTGCTCTGACTGGAAGGTGTGTGGAGTGGGATATGTAGGCTGTGTCTGCTGGGTCAGGGGATGCTGTGGAAGCTACCATCGTGCAAGTGAGAGTCAGAGCCTCCTGTGTGCTGGACAGGGCCCTGCAGCACTGGAGTAGGCCAAGGGCCCCCACCTGAGCCTGATGTGCCCAGACCCGAGCTAGGATGCCAGCTGTGACTGGAGAGGAGGTGGCACATCCAAGGTGTTGAGAGGGAACATTTCCATCTGAGCACAAAAGGAGGTCAGACTGGAAAAGAAGACTGGAAAGTGAGCCAAGCTTCTTTAACTAGGAGACTCCTTGAGACTCAGAGACAGTCAGCTTTTTCTGAGAGTGATCTAACATGAGGGATCACAAGGTCTTCATAAAAACGTTGAGTTGGTGGTGGGGATAATGGAGTTGAAAGCTGTCTTCTGGCTTTTGAAACCGTGGGCAGCTAAGTGTAACCCTTCATTGAGGTGTGACTGAGAGAACAGGCCATGGGGTCAGAGGGCAGGCTTGGACTTGGTGTCACATTGAACCCCACAGTTCAGCAAATTGGGGAAATGACTGAGGGACTTTTTTCTTGGCATAGAATGTACTTGTACTTTTTAAATTTAGCATGATTTTGTTTTAGAATCTTAGAAAATGAATTTATTTGGCCCATCAAAACACTCAGGTTTGATAGATTATTTTTTAATTTAAAAAAGGAACCTATATAGAAAAATAAAATACAGCACTTAGACCTCTCCTTCTGTAAATGATATTTGAGAACAGGGAGTCTGAGCTTTACTTGGTAAGGTGTGAAATGTGATTATTTCCTATTTTCCTTTCTATTTGTCTTGGGATTTTTGCCTGTTTTCTTCCACAGGAGCCTTTGGTCTTTTCCACAAATTCCCCTGCTTCCTTAGGTGTTGCAGCCTCTGATCTGGAGGGGCTTTTAGGGGCAGGAACATTGCCCCAGGACAGGGCCAGCGTGCAGTCCCTCAGTTCCACTGAGTGCCCCTTCTCATCTTCTGGTACAGATAAGCAGGAGAGGTGACTGCTGCAGCATAGGACTTGGAGAGAGGAGGAGGGAAGAGGCCAGGTCTCAGCTTTCACCCTTGAGCTGTAAATTCTCAGGGACTGTCTATAAATCTCCGTTAGAAATCTACATTCCCTTGGAGTGCTCTGGAGGGTTCTCACATCATCATTCATGAACCCCCCACTCCAGCCACCAACCTGGTATTGACACACTGTAAAAAAGATTCAGAATAAAACCGCAGAGTAAATGGCCACCTTAAGAGTTCCACAAAAAAAAAGTATTGTTTTTGTTTTGCCCAAAAGAAGATAGATTCAGCTGGTGTATCTGAAACTTTTCTTCTGTGTGTGCACTAGTCCACCTGGAGGGACCCACGCAAGTAAGCATGGGAGGGTGCCCCTCTGATGCCCGGGCCAGGTCTGCTTTCCAGAACAGAGGGCCGGCATACTTCCAGCCTGCTTTCCTTCCTTAAGGCTGGTGGCTGTGACCAGAGAGTTCCCCTTGACTCCTCCTACCTTACAAAGATCATGCTGCATAGGGGATTTTCTCAAGGTTGTCCTCTTCCTCTCTCTCCAGAGGGCCAGCTGAGGGTGGATGCAAATATATCCGTGCATCACCCTGGGGAGCCGCTGGGCGTCCGCACTGAAGTGAAGAATCTCAATAGCATCAGGTTCTTGGCCAAAGCCATAGGTGAGTGTCCGCTTGCTCCTCCTGTTCTGCCTGTCCATCCTCACCTGCTGGGTGACAGGCCCCCTGATTTGAGTGGCTTAGGAGTAACCACTGGGGTTTTTCATTTCTGTGGACAGTGGCTCTTTGGCTGGTGCTGCCTCTGCTCCTGCCTGCAGCTGTGGGAAGCTGACAGATTGGCAGAAATGGAGGTCAGACTGGCTCCTGTTCCCATGTGCTCCTGTTCTTGTGGCTTCCCTGCCCACACAGTCCTTTCCCAGCACCTGTCTCACCCAGGCTTGCTTAACTGCCATTGAATGCGTCCAGGAGAAAAAAGCCAGAAGCCGCAAGCCTGCCAAGTCCTAACCTGTACAACTCATGTAATGTCACCTGCAGCACATCATATGCAGAGCAGACTGAATTCAAAGCAACTCCAAGGGGAGAAAAAAGAGACTCTAGCTCTAGCTGGAAGGATTCAAAAAATACCGCGTCTGTGTTTTGCCAAGTGCCATGTTCTTTATAAAGCCAAAGTTGTTCACTTCATGGCTTCAGCTGTATGAAGTCATACTCATTGTTTTAGGTTGGCCATAGTCTGGCCTAACATTTGTGTTTTGTTCTCTCCTAAGCTAATAGATGGCATGTGCCTGTGGAGTGAGAGTTGGACTTATTGGAAGCCCATGCTGAGTTTATGGATGACAAATACCTAATTAAAATAGAACAGGATAGCAGAATAAATATCTGAGAAGTCCCCTAGAAACTGATTACTGTGACTCTAAGGGGAGGTTAAAACAAAAAAAGATGTCTAGAGAGAAAGGAAGAGGCAGGAGTGGAGTCTCAAGTGCATCCCTTCTAGAGTGTACATGGGCTGGGGAGATAGCTTGGTAGTGTAAGTACCTCCCTAGCAAGCATAAAGTCCTGAGTTCGATCCCCAGTACCACACACACACACACACACACACACACACACACACACAGGAGTGTACACAGAGCTAGACAGCTGAATATGCTGGCAGAATACTGCTATAGTGAAAATGTTGAGTAGAATCCTGGATCTTGCCAAGAGAAATGCTAGAAGGAATACAGAAAAGATGATTCTGGTCTGGTATAAAACCTCATGATCCTGAACCGAAAAATGATCAACCTTGTTGATGACACTTGGAGTCTACAAATGTCCAGGAAAACAACATAAAGTGGTCCAGATGATTTCTGGGAAGGGGACAAGAAAGACTAAGTCCCCCTATAAATACAGACTAATGAGGGTGCCTCTTCTCTCTCTAGAATTGGAATATAGTCCATGCCTCTGAAGCCACGTTGTGAATTGACTCAGGCTGATAACCAGATTTGTAATCGAGAGTCTAGGAACAAAAGGATGACAGTTTCACTTCACCTTAGACACTGTTGTTCTGGGGCCTATCACTGTAAGGTACAGTGGTAATGTGCAAAAAGTGAACAACAGATTTTAAGTAGATTTACCTGCAGTGAGTTTTGGTGTCTCTAGTGTCATTTAGTCCTATGAAATTCTCTTTGGAGCAACAGTCAGAATCCTACCTACAGCATAACTCAGCCTGGGACAACTAGTGCTTTGACATCTTGGGCTTAATTCTCCATGCCTATCATTTTCCTACCACCTCTCTCTCCATGTTGGACCCTGCTGCTGTTATCTCGTGGGAACTTTGGAGTGGGGCAAACCTGCTAAAGTGGGCATGCTGGTGTTACTGCTGCTTAGGAGTAAAGGGAAGGGTTATTTTCATGAAAGAGCTTAGGTAGCCATAAAATGTGGGTGTGCGCCCTCTCTAAACATCCACATTTCATGCACCATTGCAGGGGGTGGCAGAGCCTTTCAAAGCCCCTCCACAGGTCCCAGGGTAAGAGTCCCTCCTGGCCCCAGTCCTAGACCTGCAGTCGTCAGACCCACACACTGGTCCTGCCTTGTGTCTATCAAGTTGTATAATCTGCATTGGGTTGCTTAATGTCTCCAAACCAGAGTTGTCTCAAAAAACTTGGGGCTATTTCTGGCATCAGTGTTGTGTGATAGCAGTGAGAAGAAAATACAGCATGCAAGGGAGGGTTATTATATACAGTCTTCTTGATTATCCTTCATTTGTGAACAGTTTCTAATTATTGGCTGAATTGATTAAAGGTATAACCCAAATATGATACTAAATTATTGTTTCTCATAGACCACGAAATTCAGAGGCAGATCAATGAACTTGAGAGCGGAGGTGAAATTCTGAATGAAACTCGCTCATTTGATTGCAAGCTGGGGTGAGTGTGCATTCTTCTGCACCTTGAATACAGTGGGTAGGCGGAGAGGTCTGGGCTCAGCTGCAGACCACCTGGGTGGGCTGAGGGCTCTTTGGCTTCTCTGCACTTGACTCTCATTAGCAAGCAGAGAGCACTGTGGCCCACAGGGCTATAATATGCCCTCTTCAGCTCCTAGAAGATGTAAACTACCCCAGACTTGTTATGAAGTGCTTGATGATAGTCCTAGACCTCCCAGGCTTCAGATTTCCCTGCTGTATAAAATTTTTTTTACTTTTAAGTAAATTCGCAAACCTATCCCAACTTAGGGTAGAGGTAAATACAGCTCAGACCTGGTTGCAGTTTATCTAGACCTAGCTCTTTCCTTGATTTTCAGACTCATTTCTGAAGATTTTGTTCTTTAAGCAGAGTATTACTGAAAACTCCAAAGCATAAACCTTTGAGCTGACTAAAGGCTGGAAACTTGGCTGAGCTGGCACTGAATGGTTGAGCACTTGTATGGCTCACGTGAGCACTGGGTTTCATTTCTAGTGCCGCAGATTTTTTTCTTTTTCTTTTGTTTTTGTTTTTTTTTTTTTTTTGTTTTAGGGAAGGGTCTACAGGGTGTTCAGGATCTCACTGCTAGAGATCAGACGCATAGTGATCCGCCTGTTTACAGCCTCCCAAGTGCTGGTATAATAGGCATATGCCACCATGCCCAGTCTCAATTGCCCTCTCAGTGTACCCGGGGGTGGGGCTAGAATGGCAGGCCCAGAGAGTGAACCCCTGGCCCCTGTGCCTACTTGTAGGCACTTTAATCCACCGAGCTATTTGGCCAGCCCACAATTTTTTTTTTTTTTTTTAACTGAAGTAGTTTCTTTATTGCCAGTGGAAGGCTGAAGGGCTTCCTGATAGGGAAAACCCTTTTTATCAGCTTTCCAGTAGAGCTACAGACAGCACAAATAAGCCACATTCTAAGAAGAAAGCTTTGCTTGCCTCTCACATGTGACTGCAGCCTGTGGTTGGCTGGCCCTGTGACATGGGCCTGTGGGGTGCATGATGGCAGGAAGTGGAAGCAAGACCAGATTACTGCAGTCGCCTTCACGGGCACAGCTCCAGTGATCTGTACACCCCCCACATGCCCTGCCTGGTAAAATTATACTTCTTCATGGCAGCACCAAGCTGGGGACCACATCTAGCACCTCTTCTCCACCTGTAGGGTGCAGTGCCAGGAGGAGTGACTGCTCAGTGTTTTCCTCTCTGACTGTTACAGGTGCACTGTGCCAATGCGGGACAAGGAAGGAAAACAAGACTACAGGTGATCTCTTGTGGCAGATATCATCACCTCTGTGGGGGTTGGCATTCTTCAGATCCAGTCTGAGACTGTGAGGACCTGGAGCCCTTGTAGGACTTGCTGCTGCTGTTCCATGATAGGAAATTGGGATTTCCTGCTGAGTGTTATGCAGGGATATGTCAGCCCTGGAGCCCCTCATTTGATGGGAGTTGGCTCTGGTAGATACTTGCTCACTCACTCCTGTGTCAAAGGTTGTCATTGAGCTAAGAGGATACCAGTTGAGGTTGGCACCCTGGCCTTTCTTGTTCTTACCTTCAGCAGCAAATTCTGTAATGTGCTGAAGTGCCTCAAGAGGAAATGAAAAACGTGTACATATATGTTAATGCAGTTCTCTTCAGACCCCAGGGGATGCCATTTCATTGACAGAGTAAACAAGTTGGAATCAGGGACCTGTGAATAAAGCCATTAGTAAAGATGGGTTTGAGCTAAATCATAGCTCCTTTTTTCCATGGAGTTGAGCAGGTTGCAGAGTTGGAGCTTTGAGCAGCAAGGTTGTTGGAATGAGCCCACCTCGCCACTGTGCTGCCCAGGGGCTGCCCGTGCAGCTGTTGCTGGCAGGGAGAAGCACTCGTAGCCCTTACCCCAAGGACTCCGGGCGTGTCGGGGGTTCAGGCTGTGTCTCAGAAGAACCTTCTTTGTTCTTCGGTGTCATTCCCGATTGTATTGTACTGCTTTCTCTTGGAGCATTAAGATGGTTTTTGTGTAGATGTCCCCTCAGAGCCTCATTCAGCTTTGGGGGGGGGCACTTTCTCGAAGGTGGGTAGATCTGGAGTGAGAAATCTGCAAGGTGTGGTGCTGGGATTAAGGGTGTGTGATTGCTAGCTTGGCACGCTGATTGGTTTGGCACCACCTTAATCCTAATAGCCTAGATGGAGTATAAAAGGGGCAGAAAAACACTCTTTAGGTCCCTTGTTGCTTTGCTGCCTTCTGCTCGCCATGAATGTTTTTCCCCTGTAAGGGCTGTGTGTGTATCTTGGAGCCAGCCGAGCATGGACTGAAACCTCTACTAACTGAGCTGAAGGAAGAAACCTTTTCTCCCTTAACTTCAGGCAATGGGTATTTTGTCTCAGCAGTGAGAGAAGTAACTAAGACAAGCACAAAGTTTGCCTTTTAATTTGGCCAGCAGCTTCTGCTCCATCCTTCAAGGTGGTTTTAGGAAGCCTCCTTCCGGCTTCCTCTTGTCAGAAGCCGTACTGCTTCCAGGCAGAGATTTGGCAGTGAGTTGATGAGTTGCTTGCTCCTACTCTGTTTCCTTGGAATCATGATTGGTTCTGCATTATCCTGCTTTGACAGAAGCCCCTTGACAATGATGGGCAGGGCAAAGACATTAGTGCTGCGATGGAAGGGAGCAGGGACATGTTTTATAAGATATATGTGGCGTTGGGCTTCCGTACATATTTTCTAAAATCTTTATTCTTTATAGCGGCTTCAGATTTACAGCAAAACCGAGTGGAAAATAAAGAGTTCTGATACACGCACTGCCTCTTGCCCAACACAGCATCTCTCGTTACCGTCTTGAGTTTGTGTTACAGTGCTGAGCTGCTTTTGAGAACTTGCTGTTCCTGAAGGCCATAGTCCTACAAGGGCTCAGCCTTTGTCTTGTACATTCTCTGGGCTTTGAAGCATGTGCAGTTGCACACCCATCGTGACATCAGTACGCAGACCTGTCTCACTGCCCTCACTCGTCCTGGGCCAAGCTGATCACCCCTCCTCCCCGTGTTGTAATCAGGCAAAGTTTATACCTCCCAAGGAGGACACTTTCACTTTTTTCCTTTGCATTTTTGTTACACAAACACTGCAAAAAGTAGGAATTAAAAAACGGGGCAGTCACTTTTCTTCCTAATATATAAATTGTTCTCGTCTGGTCCTATGTCTTTGTGAATATGTACTTTATCCACAGTTGTAAATTGAAGTGTGGTCTAGCCCTGTTTAACTCACCACTGTTTCACAAGCATAGGAAGTAGCTGGACTGGGGACCTGGGTGCTTCCCAAGCACTGAACACTCACACTTCCCTGGGAAACAGAAAGTTGGTAGAAAAAGACATTTGAAAACATTTTCAAGTAGCATAGCATCTGAGCACAGACCCATTCACAGCAAAGGTAGATCCATGAGTCTGATTAGTCTGGACCCTCCAGGTTCAGACCTGTCTGCTCTCCACCTAGGTTTATGCCAGAGCCCAACCTGCCTCCTCTGGTGCTCTACGACTCAGCATCTCTGCCTGCAGGCACTGAATCTCAGCAGGTGATCAACATCGACCAGATTCGGGACGCGCTGCCTGAGCTGCCCAGTGCAACCCGGGAGCGGTTGGTCCGGCGGTACGGGATGCTGCCCGAGCACAGCTTCACACTGCTGGTTGGTACCATGGGCTGGGAAGGGGCACAGCCCAGTGGCTGGGCCTCTCTGGAGGCCCCTGCATGCTGCTTGGCAGAGGAGGGGCATATTTGTCCCACGTACTCAGGGCCTCTCAGGGCAACGCAGTAACTCTTGCTCCCTGCCACTACAGGTCATGTTCCTGAGATAGTCTTACGTTTTTATTTCTCTAGCAGAGACATGAACAGCTGTGCATGGCAGCCTTGGAGACTGGATGTCAGCCCATATGTCATGGATGAGTGTTTTCCCATGTGCCTGCTGGACAAAAGAAAGTCAGGGTATAGGTTTGAAGATGTCTACCAGTATAAATCCATGACAAGGTCTGGCAGGATGTTAGGGTCTCGGAAGTTGCCCTGTTGTTTTATCAGTTGTGGAAGCAAACATCTACTCCACACAGTGGGGAAAACTGACCAAAAGATTATCTTTTAGGGCTTAAAGATGCATCTGACAGGGCCGTTAGAGAACCTGACTCTCTGCAGTCTGCTTAGGGATTTTCCATCCTTCGCAGAGCTTGGCTTTGTGGGTTTCTTTGTCACAGCAGCATTGAAGCGATACGACATCTGTGAGTGCAGCATTTCTGTCATGGTTGTTGTCTGTGAAAGGAGGAGGTGGAAAGCTTTGCAGCTATTGCTTTCAGGGAGTAGGAACAGGCTGCAGTCATCTTTTGGAGCAGCAGAATCTGTGGGAACCAGGGTTTGGCCTTTTATGACTGGTATTAACTATATAGGGGTATTAGCCACACGTATTAACTGTGTGTAACGCACCTCAGTAGCAGCAGCCTGGTGGTTTAGAGGGCAGTCTATAGCTCGCAGTATGCAGCTTGCTGGATTCATGCATGATTCTCCTTAACTTTGAGCAGTGCCCAGAGTGCCTCACATGAAAAGTCCAGTAATGATTAGGTACAGTCCATTATTTTCTAATGCTTGAGAGTGACTTAGTCACCGCCTCCTGTGGGCTGCCACCATGTCTCATTGGTATATCAGTTCTGTCACTGCACTATAATGTTGGCAATTCTGTCACTGCACTGTAATGGCATTTTAGTGTATCTCACTCAGTGTCTTAAGGGCAGCGCTGATTCTGTCACTTGGCGCAGAGGAACACATCAGTGTTCATGCCAGTTCTCTGACTATAGGAGTCTGTCACTCGGTGTCCTGTCCAGAACAGCTCTTGACATGAGTCTCTTACACATGTGCCCTTTGCCCAGTGGGTCTGACAAACCTGAGTCTTGATCTTAGCACTTTCTCCCACCCTCTTCACCACTTGAATTCCCAGCCCTCTCTAAGCGCTGAGGTGAGCCCTGCACCTCACAGCAGTTTGCCTCCTTAGGGATTGGGGGGGGGCAGGGCTGCTCAGCCTCACAGCCACTCATTTCTTTGCTTTGGTTGTTGACCAGCCAGGGGAACGCAAGACCTTGAGACAGCATGTGACTAACGAAGGTTTTGTGGCCAAGTTTTTCAAGACCATGACTCAAGAAAAGCTGCTGGTTGATACAGCCTTCAGAATATTTTTCATGTACCACTTTTCTCAACAAGAACGGAGGAACCATTTCAGGTCTCTCTCGAGAACATGGTTATTTTTGGGTAAGGCTGTGTCAGTGTCTGAAAACACTGCATCTTCAGAGAACATCTCCGAGGTTGCTCCACTCTGGGCCGCTGTGGGTGAGCTCTGCCTGGCATCTCTCATGGTTCTGTTTGTGTCTCTGTCTTCATTCATATGTCTTTCATGGAGCCAAAACCTAGCAGGCTTTAAACACGTATTTCTGAAATGGTCAGAGACAAGTAAGTCTGTGTTTTTGTAGTTTAAGAAAACCTACCTTGGATTGTGGTGTTCAGCACTTTGATTGGCCTCTCCTGTGTAGCAGGTACTGAGGCAGAGACAGGGTTTTTTTGGTTTTGTTTTTAAGATTTTGTGGTTGTTGGGGCAGGGGGGGTGGTGTTCAATCCCGGGCCTGCTGTGCCGGCCGAGACCCCGGGCCATGTTGAGAAGGCAGTTGAGACTAGGCGTGGTGGTGCATGCCTGTAATCTCAGCTCTTGGGACGCTGTAAACAGGCGGATCACTGTGAGTTTGAACTAGTAGTGAGACCTGAACACCCTGTAGACCCTTCCCTAAAATACAAAGAAGGAAAAAAAAGATTTTGTGGTTGGTGTTACTGCCTCTCTAGAGCATTATACACACATGGCATTACAGCTCCCCAGTCCCGAGGCAGGCCGATTGTCACAGGGCTGGGAGCCCAGAGGAAGTGGCAGTGGACTCCATGTGGACCACAAAGGAGGGCTTTAAGCAGGAAGTGAAGCTTTTCAGCCTTCTTTTTTTTTAAAAAAAAAGACTCTCTGGTACCTTTAATGAATGCTTAGTTTTATAGGTTACAGATAATATATTAGGTTATTAATTTTTTAAAAAATTAAAGGACTAGTACTTGAAATTTCCAAGATAAACGAGACTAGAACAAGATAGGAATGGACATGATTCAGGTAAATTGTTTTCCTGAAATTGGACAGCCTGAGCCCTGTATGATTCCGTAATCATTGGAAGCAGAGTTGCCTGTAACATTCCCGAAAATGATACGTTCATGTTTTTCCCTGCCTTCATCAGAAGCACAGCAGATTGCCGAGAAGGGCAGATGCACAAATCTAATGAACCATCTTTCAATTTAAACAGTGCCCAGGAGTATTCATTAAATAAATAGCAGCCGTGGAGGTGTGCTTTGCAGGGGCTCCGCACCCACTCCTGCCTTTGGATTGCCTATTTAATTAAGCCGTGTACACAGACGACCCCAGCCTGACTCTCAAGCCGCGAAACTTGGAGTTACCTTTATCTCAGGTCGTGTTTTGCAGTAAGCGGTGAATCATGCATGGTGAGCACAATCTGTGATACTTGAAGAACTCTTAATCCTCAGTATTAGGCACATAGCAGGCCCGTGTGGCTAGTGGACCGAGGGGTAGGTGGACACAGGAAGAGCCCCTGAGCAGTAGTGCTCCTAGTGAATGCATCTGTTTCTGGAGGTCACATGTGGAAGCCTTCTTTTGGCCCCTGGCAGATCTCAGGCAGTGCAGCTCCTCTAACTCCAGGTGAGAAGCCCTGGTCGGCTGCTTCTGCCACGTCCTGTCCCGCGAACACCGCAGGTGACTTGCTCTGTCCAGCTGTTGCATTTTAAACCAGTTTCATTAGGACAGTAAATCATTCTGCATTCTCATTTTCCTTCCTAGATCTCCCCTCGTAAAAGAAAACCTGAAGTTTGTTTTGGTTTAGGTTTTTTTGGCTACTGGAGACTGAATTCAGGGCCTTGTATATGCCAGGCAGGTTTTCTGCCCCAAGCCACGTTCCCAGCCTGCTTAATGTTTTCAGACAGGGTCTTGCTAAGTTGCGCGCACTGACCTCACACTCAGGTTTCTCCTGCCTCAGCCTCCAAACAGCTGGGGTTGTGGGCAGGCACGTGGCTGCTGTGTGCCTAGTTACACACAAGCAAGCAGCAGCAACAAATCCATATTGCTGTTTTATTTTTTCATTCACATAAATGTCTTGCCCCATCTAAAACTTTAAGCTATTTAACTCATCTTTCTTTTCCTATCTAATGTCAGATTGCCTTGCTTTTAGACCTCATTTGTAAAGATTACGGAATAGAAACATGGTAGCTGAAATGCAGGTATTAGGATTCTGAAAGAGGAGAGATGCTGACAGCATAACAAGTCTACCTCCAGTTGGTGGCCCCGGAGCAATTACTGGAACAGTCAGTGTCATATGTACGTGCAGTCTTCTTAGCAAAATCATCCCAGACCTGTTTCCTTGAGGACATGTCTTCCTAAACTCTTTTGTCTTATTTCATTTGGGGACTAAAAAGAATCCTAGCCATTGTCTGCGTAACACACTCTAAAGGCTTGTTGCTTTCCCGCAGGCCCTGTACTTCACAGTGTGCTCCGACCCCCTCTTTGGCAGTGCTGTTAGGAGTCGAACCAAAAGCCCTTGCACGGGACCAGGTAGCCAGATCATGTTTTACTTTTTAGTTTCCCTCAGTCTCTAAATTGCCCAGGCTTGGCTCAGGCTGGTGACCTTCCTGCTTCAGCCACCAGAGTCCTGAGACTGGAGGTGTGCGTCACCACGCCCAGTGCTACTTGCTACTTCTGGTGTGTCCTTACCACAGCCCAGAATTGTTGTGCTCCCATATTCCATGTGAGGAAGTAGACTCTCTTGGGTTAAGGAGCTTCCCACACCTGTGTTGAGGCTGTGTTTATCTACACTGACTTGAGCATCTCTCTCATTTCATAAAGTAGAAAGTAGTTTTTACTATACAAGTTCCACAGATATTTTGTGAAGCACATAGAACACAGGTAGATCAAAAAATTTTTGACTACTTCTATTGATTTTGATTGTGCCAGACTGCCCCGTATATCATTGCCTGCCAAATTAGTGAAAATCAGCAGCAATGAAAAGGAAAAACCATGTTGGCTTTCCAGGTAGAAAAGTTAAGTCAAAAGAAAAGTAATAAAATCTATCCTGTGTCTCGGTGTTGGTGCTACATGTTTGTAATCCCAGCACTGGGGAGGCTGAGGCAGAAGGATCTTTTATGAGTTCAAGGCCAGCCTGAAGTGCATAGTGAGACCCTGTTTTAAAAAAAAAAAAAATAGCCATCTTCTATAGTTTTGTTTCCTAAACATTTTGCTAGAGGTACAATGGGCCTTCCTTCCTCAATCATTGAGCAGTTCTTATTGGGGGAGGGGGAGGGAAGAAGGTGTGGAGTGACCTGGCCTGGATGCTGGTGTCTTTCAGCTTGGCACGTAAGAGAAACTTGGGAAGGACCAGCTCTGAGCCCCAGGGCAGCTGGCTACATATGAAGTCAGTAGAGGGAAAGACTGGAATCTCCACTTGCCTGGGAGGTTGTAGAGGAGGGATTGGCAGGGCAGCCCCAGTTTGAGGGCTTGCTTTCTCGACACCAGCCTTTCCCCTTGGCCCTGTTGCTTTTCCTGTTTTCTAGCACCCTCACAGG